CCACATAACGACATAGACTAAATCGTACTCGTCCTGCCACAGTATATAACGAGAACTACTTGTACGGACGTAATGGAATTTTCGTGTTGTAACGCTACCCCTTTAAATTTCAACAACTGCGCAGATCTAAACAGACATTAGTCTAGGTAGCATGTCTGTCATTATTTTCATAGCAATTTGACCAACAATTTTACAGCCGACACACACACGGTGAACATGTAATAGAAAGAGCATCGAAACCCTCCACAAGAATATAAATCAAATCAAGTGTTTTGACGTTCTTTCCATTTTGCATCGTAGGCAAAAATAACAAGAAGTTTCTTAACAATGATACTCGGACGAGGTAGAACTTTAATTGTATTGTTTTTTTTCCGGAATTTTGGCGTAGCATGTAATGTTTAAATCAACAAGTTTGCTTCTTTAAAAAGAAACATGCGAGAGGTCTTTTTACAGCTGTTGAAGATTTATTTAATTGTTCAAATATCAGGAAAGTAAGAACATCTAATGAGTCAAATGGCTTCTGCAAACAAAAGCAACATATCGACTATTTCTGTCAGTCTCTAAGATTTTGGAATCATCGGCGAAGTTTAAGCAGCAAAATTTGCATACACGGTTCATTAGGTAAAAAATAGTGCTTCGTGATATTGTTACGAAATTACTCTCTTTTAACAGAAGTCTTTTCTTAACACGTTTTCGCTGAAAATGTCATTTAGAACTCTATGTGTCCAAGTGAATTAAATAAAATGATGCATCATAATTGTATACTAGCAATAGTCTAAAAGCAAATGAAACACTTAAACTTCAACAGCTCAACTCAACAACAACCACTCTTCAACTCCAATTAACCGCGACAAAAAGCGCATGCAGCTAGCAATACTAATGTGCAAAAGTGGACTGGCGTGTGACCCACTTGCGAAACCAGTCTGCACGACTCCTTGCACGACCTGAATGCTGCAAGTGCTGACATGCCTTAACAATGTTGAAAATGACGCACAAATAGTTCAGATATACAGAACGTTTTAAAATACAAACATAAGTACAAAAATACATACATATACATGTTTACTCAATAGCATAACATTTGTTCAACATTGCATCTTACAAATACGTAGTGTATATACAGATACTACAAGTACTAATGTACTCAATACAAACATGAATTGTTGAAAAAGGATTAGGTAATGCGTTGTTTTTCAGTATTCTAGCTCCACTAAAAAACCCAAATAAACTACGATTCAAAATAAAAATCTGAACAGTGCAACTTAGTGCAGCATAAACTTGCAAAAAGTAAATATATTTGTACTGTTTATGGTTTACAAGATTGGTACACTTACTTTTGATTAAGTGTACCAATCTTGTAAACCATAAACAGTACAAATAATTATGTAAATGGTAATGTAGTATTTGAACTGAGAGAATTTTGAAAGCCTGAACAGAACTTTAAATCAAATTTCAGATAAAAAGATTGTGTTCATTGGTTAAGTTGCAAGTTTGGTAAGAGTAAACACAGTCGGGAGATCAGAAATGGAAGCTACTTATATTGTGAGTAAATTAAATTTTTATTATATTTTAATAATTTTCTGTTATATATTTTGTGATTTTGATGACAGCCAAGTTTATATTCCAAATAATTATACTATTTAAACGTATGTCGATGTTATGTTTTAATCAATAATACGCGTTTTATCAAGCTTCCTCTAGTGACAGTTATGTAACGAACGATTTCTCTTTTGTTTGCTTTCTAACACATGTTTAAATATCTAAGAATGATTTCGATTCTTGACTTTGTTTTTCAGGCTGTAATCCTTGTGCTGACAACGTTCGCTCTCGTCAACACCTGTTCTGTACCCACCTCTTGTACATGCTATAATAGTTCCATTAGTTACAGAATCAGGTGTAGCCACAAAAAATTAACAAACGTTCCTAGTATGTTACCATCTAACATTCATGTCCACAAGTTGTATTTGTTTTTCAATGTGAACTTGTTTACAGTTATTCCAAACAATGTATTTGAAACATTTAGCTTCTTCAATGCATCAGATGTTTATTTGACACTTTCAAATAATAATATCCGTTTAATCGAAAATGATGCATTTAATGGAATTGAAAATGTTATAACAGATCTTAATCTGTACAGTAATAATCTTATGACGATCCCGTTTGCTATCAGTAAACTAGTTAACCTAAAAACTCTTAAAATTCAGAAAAATCCTCTTCGTTCACTTGACTCATCAGTGATGGCACATATTGGCCAAAGTTTGACTTACTTTAGTTTAGATTTAAATCATTTTACTAAAATGCCAAGAGAACTTCGATATCTTCGAGTATTGCAGAGTTTGACCATAAACCACATACCGTTTTCGCATATGGACGTGAATGCTTTCCAAGGAGTTAATCATACACTTAAGACTCTATATCTTGAATATTCTAAACTTGAAAAGATGCCCCTTTCCATATGTCGCCTGAGTAATCTATCATTATTGTCTTTCACATATGATAGTTACCTTAAGGAAAACAAGTCCTCTATTCTTATGTCATGTGGTTGCAAATTGCCATCTGTCACACGATTATACTTACATTCTAATAGTCTCCATACGTTTCCGGATATTTTTGCGCTATTTCCATCACTTACACTTTTACACATGCTTGGAAATAATCTTCAATACATAGATTACGAAAAAATCCCGAATAATTCAAATCTTACAAATTTGCTTTTGACAAATAACCTTTTCGACAGAGTACCATATGCATTAAACAGGCTAAAATTTTTGAAGTCTCTTAGTCTTGATGGTAATAACATTAAAACAATTGACACACCTGACCTTGTAGGATTGCATTCCTTGACATACTTAGGTATTTCGTCAAATCCCATTATGTTTATAGCACCTGATGCATTTAAACATAACGTTAACTTACGTCATCTTAGATTATATAACACTCATCTGAAACATATTCCTGTTGCAGTGACTACTTTGACAAAACTTTTTGAGATTGATCTTGATGGAATGTCAATTGAGTGTACATGTGACATGTCTTACTTAAAGCATTGGAATGTTTCAACGATAGACATTGAAGGAAATTGCCCATTTTCTTCTGAAAGTATCAAATATTTTATCATGCATTCCTTACAGTCTTGCCCGTAGACTAAAAACTCGGACGTTACAGAACATCGAGTATATCATAATTTTGACTGTGAATTATGTTAAAGTTCTATTGACCCGTATACTCTTCATTCAAAGCAAAGACATGTGTCTTGATAAATTTAGCTATGTAAATCATTTATAAGGGAAATTTACCATTTTTTTGCAACAATAGATGATTTGTGAGTTTTTTTATGGTTTCATTTTGACATTATTATGCATATTTTCGTAAACATAATTTGACAATTATTGAATCTGGTTTAGCAAAATAATCACATCGAAAATATACCATTGCTAATATAATCATTAGTATTTCCGAATCTATTGATTAATATTTTATTATGCTTTGATTTTCGATCACATGGGATAAAAAATATATATTTCCGGTGAAAAATTGTTTTCTTACATAAGACATTGCGTCCTTTCAACGTGAATAGTGACCTAGATCTCCCTGATATAAAATATCATGTTGTCATTAAGCTTCCTAAATGTAACCACTTTTATTACTCTAAACATTTTTGTAATGTCGGTATGTTGTAACAATTTCAATAAGGTTATTCATTCACCATACTGAAATGGCTTTCTTGTAAGCACTACTCCACGAGCCTTTGAAACAAGCTATTTCTTTTCAAGAATACTGTTAACAAAAAAAAATTGTTCTTTACTTCAAATGTTATTGCAAATTTTCTTCACTAAATGCTTGACACACATGAGTGCAATGACGTGTTAATGACGTGTTAAATATTTAGATGATTTAGTAAGAGGTAACCTGTTAATGCACTATGGTGACGAATTGTTTCTCATTATTTATTGTTCAATACATATTAATTTTTATTACATGTATTATATTTGTTGTTTTTACGTACATTCAGGGTTTATCAATAGTTGTAAAATCAATGTGTTATTGATCTATGAATTGGTAACATATGATTGTATGTTTATCAAGTAATGTAATGACAATAACCTTATGAACGCATTGAACGTTGTATGATAAAGACAAATGCTATAAAAATATGTTTAACAATCTAGATTAGTTTTTAACAGGTAATAATATATTAAAATTAATAGTGTATTTATTTGTGTATACATGTATGACATTGTTTTAGAGATATGAATGTGCAATAGAATTCCTTTACAACATTTCGTGTTATGTTGCCCGTTTGCTAACGTTCATTCTTTAATTGAACCAGTCGAAATACGCATAATATGTGTTTGCTTTTCTTCACAATTTGCCAACACATTTGTAAAGGACGTCCTTTTTTATTTGTAATAAACTGTATATATAGTTATGAGAATCGTGCGTTACAATTGTAAATAAAAATGTGAATACAAAGTAATCATATTAATAAATAATGCAGTAAATGTGGTTTTCATTACAAAATAAAACATTTCCTGGAACATTTTTATCTTAACTGATTGATGTAATGAAACATTCCTTTGTCCGTTCTACGCTTAGATTTTTTTGGATGAAAATTGTTTGCAAGAATTTTTAGTTATCTCCCGGAAAGTTTTAAAAATGTATGTTTTATTTTGTTTATCTAAGAACGTAACTGATAAGATTCGGATAAATTGTTTTGGGCATGTAATTTCTTCTTTTGTTTAAAGCCAATATTTGAGATATTACTGTAACATAAATCTACCGTATTTTCTTTTTACTTAATTTTGGAACGTGTAAGAGACATAAATACTTTAATTTACTTATTTTTACCAACTGTCATTACATGTGTTAGTTACTCAATGTTTTAAAAATTGTTACCAATAAAATATTAAAAGTATCATTCATTCGATGAAAACTCTGTGTTATTCGAAACCTGTACTTTAACCATTTTTCGAAGAGCAAACCTTTGATAATGTAAAATTTGATTTGAAATTCTGACAGATAGTTCAAATATATATAGCTGACAAACTGATTTTATACTAAGTCTTATACCATTTTGTTAGTGTATGACTTTATATCTAATAAAAATATATCATAAACAATAAAAACAGTTCGATTATGTTGTTTTCATTACAATATGGTCGTTTCTTGAAAGGTTTGCAACATAGAATGTCTGTGTGATTAACTATAAATGAATATTGTAAATGAACAGGAAAATATGTACCGGAACATGATATTCTGCTGCCAATTTTATTCGGTAGTCTTATATATTTTGCGATAAGACGCATGCTTTTATGCGGAATGACACAATTTATTTTTACGGTAGTCAATCCAAACAAAAGAACATAAAAACATTCACATACATCAGCTTTACACTTCATGACCGACTTAAAATTTCTGGCTTTGTTGCAAAACATTTATTTACATTTTCTTCAAATGGAAAAGCGATGTCTCCGTATACAAGAATTGGACTGTGCAACTGTCTGTAGTTTACCGAGATTTAATATCAAATTGAAAACAGACTAAAATTAAATCATGCGTAAACACGTTGTCTCAACCTAAAGGGGAACTATTTCGCATTTGGACCAAAAGCATCGGTGTAAGAGTTGTTGCATTGCATTGTCATAAAACACCTGAAGTTTTAAATATATCCATGTGTTGACTTTAAAAACTAGGAAACAAGTTCGTTTCGAAGAAATTTATCTTTTAGAGTTTTGTATTTTACGTTTGAGATGATTTGGAAAAACTTAAAATGCCGCCTTTTAAAAAGAGCGCGAGGTCACACGTGGTCTGTTTTATTTTGGTTAGATTTGGTAACGTCTGATGCCTTATAATGTCTTATATACTATGTTTATGCTCAAATTTGATGTTTTATCGTTGGCCACTTGGTATTATAAGTTTATGTATCGTCAAATTTGGATATAATTTATTAATGTTCAAGGCATTATGATAAACCATTACGAGCAACACTGTCTATATATAATTAATAAACACTGTCTAGTATATATAATTAGTACACATGGTGTCGGATTCTTGCCACATAACGACATAGACTAAATCGTACTCGTCCTGCCACAGTATATAACGAGAACTACTTGTACGGACGTAATGGAATTTTCTTGTCGTAGCGCTTCCCCTTTAATTTCAACAACTGCGCAGATCTAAACAGACATTAGTCTAGGTAGCATGTCTGTCATTATTTTCATAGCAATTTGACCAACAATTTTACAGCCGACACACACACGGTGAACATGTAATAGAAAGAGCATCGAAACCCTCCACAAGAATATAAAACAAATCAAGTATTTTGACGTTCTTTCCATTTTGCATCGTAGGCAAAAATAACAAGAAGTTTCTTAACAATGATACTCGGACGAGGTAGAACTTCAATTGTATTGTTTCTTTCCGGAATTTTGGCGTAGCATGTAATGTTTAAATCAACAAATTTGCTTCTTTAAAAAGAAGCATTCGAGAGATCTTTTTACAGCTGTTGAAGATTTATTTATTTCTTCAAATTGCGAGAAAGTAAGAACTTCTGATTAGTCGAATGGCATCTGCGAACAAAAGCAACATATCGGCTATTTCCGTCAGTCTCGCAGATAAGGAATAATGAGCGAGGTGTTCCGAATTTAAAAAGAAGCAGCAAAATTTCCATATACGGTCCATTAGGTCATAAAATAGTGCTTGGTGATATTGTTACGAAATTACTCTCTTTTAACAGAAGTCTTTCTTAACACGTTTTCGCTGAAAATGTCATTTAGAACTCTATGTGTCCAAGTGAATTAAATAAAATGATGCATCATAATTGTATACTAGCAATAGTCTAAAAGCAAATGAAACACTTAAACTTCAACAGCTCAACTCAACAACAACCACTCTTCAACTCCAATTAACCGCGACAAAAAGCGCATGCAGCTAGCAATACTAATGTGCAAAAGTGGACTGGCGTGTGACCCACTTGCGAAAACCAGTCTGCACGACTCCTTGCACGACCTGAATGCTGCAAGTGCTGACATGCCTTAACAATGTTGAAAATGACGCACAAATAGTTCAGATATACAGAACGTTTGTGAAATACAAACATAAGTACAAAATACACATACATATACATGTTTACTCAATAGCATAACATTTGTTCAACATTGCATCTTACAAATACGTAGTGTATATACAGATACTACAAGTACTAATGTACTCAATACAAACATGAATTGTTGAAAAAGGATTAGGTAATGCGTTGTTTTTCAGTATTCTAGCTCCACTAAAAAACCCAAATAAACTACGATTCAAAATAAAAATCTGAACAGTGCAACTTAGTGCAGCATAAACTTGCAAAAAGTAAATATATTTGTACTGTTTATGGTTTACAAGATTGGTACACTTACTTTTGATTAACTATTCTTTAAACTTGTCAACAGCAGAAAAATAAATGGAGAAAATCCCTTTTATATACCTCAACATTTCAACTAAGTGCATGCAACCTGTATATAGACAAAGCAGTAAGGAATTTCAGTCATAAAATCTGACATGTTTTTTTCTAAAAATAATACTTTACGTGTGCAACTTTGCTATAATTAGAACAAGTGTGCCCGGGAAAGACCTCTACTTCCGCGTGACGAGGAATGATCATATCTAAAAACAACTGAGCTGTGCCAATGACCTGGGCTGTTAATGACCCAATTGTTTTACAATGAAATGAGTAAAAATATGTTGGCCAGATATACTTTCCTAAAAACAATACGCCTTTTCAAATTTCACAGTTTTGAAGCTATTTTTATGGTGGCTGATTTGTGTCATTTCGCCCCGCGACCCCGCCAAGCGAAAAGTCGAGATTTAACAAGTTAAAATGGCGGGGGCGCGGAGCGAAAACACGCTTATAAGCGGGGCGCGGGGCGAAAAGTCGAGTTTTTAAGGAATAATTTGGCGGGGGCGCGAACAACAGCGCGCTAATTAGCACCCTATAACAATAAATATTTCGTTTGGCAGCCCCGCGGTTTTACAATAAAATCTCGAGTTTTCGCCCCGCGACACCGCTAATTAGCGTGTTTTCGATCCGCGCCCCGCCATTTTAACTTGTTATTTCTCGAATATTCGCTTGGCGGGGTCGCGGGGCGAATACATGAATGGCACAAATCAGCCACCATAACATACACATTTTGCAACCTAAGGGCTTGAGATCATTGACAGAAACGTTGTAAGTTATAGTTATATTCTCCTGATATCTTGATATCCAAACGCTGATTGTAATCGTAAATTTTATCAGCTGAATTTCTGTCATAAAAGGTAGTTGTATTAAAGTCAGTGAAAATAACGTCATTTATTAAAATGATAACAAGTTTAATAACATATATGAACATCTTTTTTATGTCTGAAAGTGTTATAGCTTTTGCAATGCTTTGTACCAACAATTATGTTCATTTCAAAAATGTTTCAATGTATTTCGAATAACCACTTGAAGAATGAAGCATTCGAAGATAATGTTTATTACCAATTAACATTAAGGAGATAAACTTCTCACACTTCACAAAACATAATTTCAGTCGGTTTTACATTATGACATAAATTGCAGTACACAGCAAAGATAATTCTCACGTAAAGCTATCTATCTGAAAAAGAAAAATACATTTTTTTATAATGTACATTTGCTGGGGCAAACAGTGAAATGTATACAGCAGCTGTTGATTTTTAAAAAATGCTAAATTATACCAATATCATAATTATGTATTTTTACGACTGCATAAAATCGGTGCAAGGAGGCGCGTTGACGTTTTGTGCCTGGACTTCCTGTTTAATGTGTATGTCAATAAATTACTCAAACGAACACGTAATAGCTTTTATGCCGAAAAGATAGAGTCATGTTGTCGTGACCAAAAACTCTATTTAAAGTGACAAAACATCTTCTTGGAAGAACCCATGAGGTTGTTTTACCAGATGCTTCATCATCAGCAGACCTAGCTCAAGAGTTCAGTGATTTTTTCGTCGATAAAATAGGATAAAATACGTGACAAGATTCGATCAGAGACAAACATTCAAGCTGTACAAGTCGACACACCAGAGTGTATGAATAGTGAAATAGATGAGCTAGTTGAATTTACACCTGTAACTGAAAATGAACTGAGAAAAGTTATATCAAA